TCTGACTTCAATGTTGTGCCACTTCTCTTGACAATTTTCACATCCTCGATTCCCGTGCCTCAAGGTGCAGCGGCAGCTGGGAAAGGGCTCTTTTGGCACTGTGTACCTAGTCTCACACAGGCGGCTGGTACGGGTGTGCATGCTGGGGTGCATGTGGGACGCGCTGCTGCTTTTCGTGGCTGCCAGGACGCAAGTTGACCAAAACAAGGAGAAGCGAGACGACGCCTCATTGCAGCAGCGCATGGGAGACCAGTGGTGCCCATGTTGGTGGCCCCATGCCCCATGCCACTGCACGTCGCTGTGTAGACTCAGGTTCGGGTCTGCAAGATCATCAGCAAGCTCAAGGCAAAGCGAGACCCATGTCATGCCATAAGATGTAGTGGCATTTTTCGTCTTCAGTTTGGTGCGGCAGGCTTGTACGTTTGCAGCAGAGACTGCACGTTGCTGGCCAGGCTAAGGAAGCCAAAACATCGGAAGCCAAGGCTCCCTGTGCCACGGCGTGCTGAGTGTTGTCGATACCGGGTACAGCTGCCGGGAACGACGTGAGAGTTGCGGCTGCGCAGGTCCGCGAGGAGTTTGCTGTGCTCAAACAGCTCGACCATCCCCACGTCCTCAGAATATTTGAGGACATGTGAGATTTGTCTTTCGGCTTTCCCGGCTGAAACAGACTGTAACTGCAGGACTTTGAGGATGACGAGAACTTTTACCTTGTTATGGACCGCTCGACGAAAAGTTCTAGTCTTGACTGATGGCTATCATCAGCAGTGAAGCAAAAAGCGGAACTTGCCTTGCAGGAGCAATGTCGGGGTGGCGATCTCGGGGCATACGCCGCGTTCTCGGCGTGCAGGATGCCGCATGCTAGACTCGTATGCTGAACACGAAACAACGCAGGTCAAGCGTCTGGAGCCCATGGATGCCTACTCCTATGAATTCTGGGTTTCGAAGGCCACTGTCGTTATCGGCCTCACGTTGTGTCGTGTATCCCATCTGCCATGAACTCTCAGAGCTGTTTTCTGGCTGCAGTTGCCCGCGCCTTGCACGTGACAGACAGGTGATGCAGCACACACTGTCGGCCATTGCCTACTGCCACTCGAAGGCCGTGATTCACAAGGAGAGTTTGGCAAGCACGCCTGTCGGTGCACAACACCTGGCATCATGTGGACCTTAGAGCCTTAGAGGCGAAGGAGTCCCCCTTTGCCTTGGATCTGCTTTGCCCGTTTTCGGAGGACCTCAAGCCTGAGAATGTTATGCTCTCCACGACTCGGGAGCCGAAATGCTGTGGTTTCTGAGTTCAGCAAAAGCAGACTTGGCTCTGCACAAGTTGTGGAGCGGATCGAGTATAGCTGGTCAGGACACCCCAGTTGCACAGATGCATGTTGCAGCTTGTCTGCAAACGGTGGTTCCTCTTGCTCTGACTGCCGAGCTCTGTCAAGTTGCGGCCGATGTCAACCAAGCAAACATGAAGTAATTGGGGGTCTGCCGTCCTCGCGTCTCTGGATCGCGGCTGTACCAGGTCGTGGTCGACTTCGGTTTGGCGGAGGCCATCCGCCCTGACACATCAGCCGGGTTACTTGCACACTGCAGCCACTTGCACACTGTACTTTCTTCGAAGGTCTTTGCAAACTCTACGGACCGCAGTGATGTGGTGCGGGGCGCCACAGTCTAGAAAAACTCGCGCCGACAGCCGGAGGAAGCAGAGCAATGCGCATTCAACCGAGAGCGGACTGAGCGGACGTATGCTGGCCAGCATGTGTGAATCCGGTTTGTAGACGGGTCGGGTCACGCTAGGTACATGGTCGCTCGTACACCGCCGATGTGCGCATTGTTGGGCTCCTTTTTGCTCTTGCCCGTGCACTGGGGTATGACAGGGTTGACTTGCCATTTGGGGGTTCCCTGGTGTGGAATGGGTTGTCATGACGTGGACGGCTCGAGTCATTGTCGCTCTTTCCGAACCAGTCATGATAGTGCTGGCTGCATGCTTGCGATCGCTTCCACTGCGCAAACGGATTCGGGCTCACGGTCGAAAGCATAGGGTGAGGTGCCGATGGCCCGGGGATAGCCAGCGGTTCGGTTTGCTGTGTCGTCTGGCTTTAGGCGCCGGTCCCGTTGAACAGGTAAGAACATTTCTCGCATGCGTGAAAGTCGATCATGCGACGCTGGCAACGCGTCGGGCAGCTGGCCTTGTTCAAACATTGCTCTTCAGTTGCACGCCTGCGTGGGTTGGTGCCGATGGAAATGATTCCTGGGAGTGGGTGTACGATTGTGGTTCACGGGGTTAGCACGGCGAGTGCACATTGGCTGCAACGGCGAACCCCGGCATCGCACAGCATACGTCAAGATGTGCATCCAAACGCCTCGTTTCATGTCACGATTAGGCGAAGGTCAAGAGCTGCAACGAATCAAGCTGCACGGCGCAAGCCTGGAATCACACATCTTGAAGGCCGGTAGAAGTGGCATGGTTTCAATCTGAGAAAGTCATTCAAATGCCAAGATACAATGTCGGAATGACTTCGCCCAAACAAACATCCACAAATTGTCTCAAGCTTCAACGTCAATGTTCGAAAAGAGTGGGCCGACCGAGGTCGGGCACTCCGCCGTACATGGCCCCCGAGGCACACATGCCAGTGTCTTCATCTCTCGACTGGTCATGCAGTCATGCAATGTACGGTCGGAGTGTTCATGATGTTCGTGCTTGTGCGCATGTACCTGTCCAGGTCTGGCAGGGCAACTTCAGCAAGAGCTGCGACGTTTGGCACGGTACTCGCAGCTGCGGTACAACCACCGTAGCGATCTCAAGGTGTTGAATTCGGTCCCTGTTCGCTCAGGTCAGCTGGCTGCATGCTGTTCTTCCTGTTGTCTGGGCGCTTGCCCTTCATCGCAGCCACTGTAAAGGACGCCGATCTGGCGCTACGTTGAAATGCGTATTGAGACCTCAAGGGGTTTTGAGCTGGAACGGGTTGCGCAGACGTAGCTCGTGCGAGGAGTTTCCCAAGGCTGTTCAGCAAGAGCCAGACTGGGCTCCGGCCTTGGCACACAGCAGCCGCCGGCACCCGCCTGCTGAATTATTCAAGCGACTGTCATTCCCAGAGAGCGCAGCTGCGCAGCGATCAAACCTTCACAGAGCGGTGGTATTCGAAGGTGTCAAAGAATGGGACTCCTCACAAGGGCGAAGTAGCCATCTCTCAAAAAGTAGTCGAGGTTTTTCTGAGCGACAGCGAACCCTGTTCGTTCAATGCTCATGAATTCTCCATTGTGTTCAGCGTTCGATGCCCTCTCAAGAAATCATTGCCAAAGCCGTAGCAGGGACGGGCTTGAGCCATTTGAGCCTAGGGACAAAGACATCGTGTGGACTCACTTCGCAGCCGAAGTGGGAGGGGGTTAGTCGACCAGGAGTCTCTTGTGTGAACTCGTGATATTGCTGGACTTAGGCCGCGATGGGCGGAGCCACCCAGGAAGCGCAGCAGATCTGCAGGAAAGACCGAGTTTGTGCAGCAAAATGTGACGAAGCAGTTCCACCGAGTAAGCCGCACTGGAGGCAGATGCTCCAGAAGATGGAGCATCAGCGGCCGACTGCACAGACTTGTTTGAAGGACAGGTGAGCCCGCCCTGCAGGTGGTTCTTGTGCATTCGCATCATTGCATCCTGCAGACTCTTGTGGCTCGTTTAATATAGCTCCATGCTGAGCTGGGCAACTGCCCTTCCCCTGCTGAGCGTCTTCGCAACAAGCGCGCTGCGCCTGTCGGGCCTGTCGGCTTAAATCATGAGTCAGTTGGCAAGCCGTCGACCATCGACGACAGCACAGCTATGGAACATATAGTGTCGGGCATGGCTTTTCTCCTGCATGAGGTGTTCAGGATTGGGAAAGCAGCCCCAGCAGTGGAAGGGTCCAACTCTGCATCAGGGGCGTGCACACATTTCTCAGGCCAGCAGGACGGATGGCCATTAGTTTGGATTAAAAAAGATGTGGAATCCCTGGAAAGGTTCACAGACGAGGGCTGCTTTCAGCACCTGACATGGAGAGGCCGCTACCGCTCTGCAGCCAGACGGCACACAGATTTTTCGGAGACTGCTTGGACACTGAGCAGTCGAGGAAGAAGACGCAGCAAACTTCGAGAAGAAGGCTTGTCCACTGGCCGATGCTCAGCCTGTTTATTGGGATGACATGGTAGAATCCTAGTGGACAGCGGAGATGCCAGTGCCGGAAATGCTGTGTCCTCTTGATATCTTAGATAAGAGCCAATGTTCCACAGCCGCAGTTGAGGCTTCTGGAAACCGAAATCGGCTGAGTCGGCAGATTCTGCAGTGGTACCGTGCCCACGCGCTCGGATGCTTTGGGAGCAGGATCCTCTTGCACCAGGACTGCCCAAGTTTCCAATCATCAGGCGTGGTCTGGGACTGAACATGGCTTCAGACCATTCTTGTAAGTGCACCGACAGCAGAGTCGTAGGGATGCCGCGCGTGGATGCCTACCAGGGTTTTTCCAAGACAGGAACATACAGGAACTAACCATGTTTCGGAGTTCTGTCCGGCAAAAGTTCCGATGCGACCCAGACCGGCGCTCACACATGTTTGAGCTACAGCACTCCGATCAGAAGTCTAAACGTAGTCTTTTGTCCGGGCGTTCATGGAATCTCTGCGAAGGTCTTGCTAGATGTCATGGCCACAGTAGATTTGGAGGTGCTCCTGCTGGCGCGGGCAAGCTCCGGGCAGCTCCATGGCCGGATCCGAGCTGCTCCGGTGAGTGCCTGGTGTAATCAAGCCAAGGCTCTCTGGAGAAGCCAGCAGGCCCTACATTCCAATACTTGGGCACATGACGATGTGCCGCCTTTCTCCATGAGCACCTCGGTATCATACAGAGGCTCTGCCCCAGCCAACAACTGGGTTAATTTAGGGACATGTTGGCAATCAGCAGACCTGCTTGGGAAGCGCGCCGTTCCACACTTCTGAGGTGATGTGGCGCAGGCGGATATGGGATGAAGCAGAACTTTTCACTAGTAGCAGACTTTTTTCAGTCGAGGTCAGTGGAGCCTTTTTATGGCTGGGTTTGGATTTTCAGGCATGCTTGCTGGGCTCACCGGAGCGCTTCGACTGGCGCCGAGAGAAGCTATTGGATTGGGTGCGGCTGGGAAGTTGCTTTGGCAAGAATTGGCAAGACAGAGGCATCAGAGTGCCTTGTGGTAGTAAGGGTCAGTAAGGTAACTAGCTTCGATCTGTTGATTTGTTTTGATTTTGCCCAGGCTGTGGCCAAGTCGCTGGTTCGGTCGCACTTTCCGAGAGCCCCTCGAACTGTGCATGCAGCGGCTGGTGGTCTGTCTGGTGCAGAGGCACATTGGAGAGTTCTACTTGAATCGTGCTGTGTCGTGCCAATGCCAAAGCTGAGAACCTTTCTTTCTGGCTTCCTCGACCGGACAGGTCCCGAACAGGTGTACTTTGCCCAGGGCTCCATGCCCTTCAGCAACTCCACGTTTGCTAACAAGACCTGCTGGTGTGATGGAGGGCGGCGCGAGGAGCCCAACTGGCCATCATGGCTGGAAGCATCACAGCTCTGCACCACCTTCTTGCAGCTCCCTTTGCTTTGGGACGGTGTAGGCACGAGATTCGCTTTGCAATCGAAGAAGCGACTTTGGTGGTCCAGCGGGCAGTAAATTTCTTGTCAGGCTTCGACAAGGATGGCATCATGTGGGAGAACAATAACATTCGGAACGTGCGCACTTTCTATGGACGTGACGCTGGACATGCATATCCTTCTTTTTGTGAGTAGCTTCTGAGAGCCACGTGCCAAATCATCAACATGGATACTGAAGCAAGAGAGTCTACGATTCTGCACCTGTGGACGAGGCATATTCACAGCCCCATGAGATTAAGACCACATCCCCAGCTGCTGCATACGTGGTGTGGCCAGCGGCCAGCCAGCCACAGCAAGCCTAGTCCTCAGGTTGTCTATGTTGGCAGCAAGCGACGTGCAGCGGCACACCACTGCGAACGGAGTACACTGAGAGAGACTGGCGACATTGGTGGAGCCAGACATGCACGCCTGGTCTTGCGGGCGTTGCTTCCAACTTATTACCGCCATGTCCTTCGACTTGTTTGTAGAGGAGATGGCCGCAGATTCGTCAGTTTCCACAGCAGCTGAAGAGTTTGATGCTTAGGTCTATGCTCGGAACGTGGCGAATATCTTTTACCATGGCATCGCAACTACCAGCTTGGATGTACTTGGCCAGCTTCAGAAGGGATTTTGGGGCCTTGTGCTGTGTTTACATGCTGCCCTCATCATTGCCATTTGCGTAAACAAACGTTCCAGTGAACGCAGTGGTGTGGATTTATTGCTTCTGAGCCAAGCCAAGGACGTTTTCGCTACTGAAGTCAGCGAGGTGTGCAGAACATCTTCCGGCTTCTCGACTCGAGTGGCTGGGAGATCCCATACAGGTTTGGTATTTACGATGTGCTATAAAGGATCGTAAACCGATATAGAGCAATGGACTGTCGCATGGTGGTTTGGCAGGATCGCTTTACCCTGGCTGTGGCGTTGCTTGTGCCAAGGTTGGCTGGACCACATGTGGACTCACCAGAGCCTGCGCAAAGGCTATCTGTTGTCCCATGATGCCATGAGCAGAGACATGGACTCTTGCGACACGTCTTGGCCGTGCCACTATGATAGACGCCAGAGTGCACTCAGCTCAACTGACATTTCTTGCTCAATCTTGCTTCCTTCAGCTAGAGTAACTCCTTGAGATGCAGTTCATAGCTGTTGGCTATTTGTGAATTACGTTCGTTTTCGGCCGGGATGCGTGTTGTTGCCCTTGCTCAACATTTCCGCCTGGATGCGGCCTTGCCTTCACCTCTCCTCACCTCACAGAAACATGCACCATCTGGGCCCTCTGGGCACGAAGTCTACACCAAGGAGTGGACTCAACAGACTCCACAGACGAGGGATGCTTGCTGTGCGATGCACAGCGCCCATGCTTTCACGGCAGGCTCGGTTGGTCTATCGGCTACGGTTTGTTTGCGTCAGCTTTGTCAAAGTTAAGGGATGGTTCGAGCATATAAGTGCCAACGACACAATCAACGGATGCTTCCGAGCAACTGCAACGAACTGAGCCCCGATCAAACGGCAGGAGTCAAAGCCGATGCTCACACTGCATGTCAGTCGTGAATAGAGCTATAGACGTAACACCGCAGTGTTTTGTGATTCCTAGCACGATTGCTACCGCAGGAACGGACTCGAATCCAGCTCGAACCAAATGACCGCAGCTCTCCCCTGGCAGGGTCGAAGAAGCTTGTACAAGCCCGGATTTCCACTTCTCGCGGTGGCATGCAGTCCGGGACTCATTTGGAAGTGCTAGGTTCGCATGCGGCGCATCACCTGGGCCAAGAGGGAAATGTAATTTTCAGCGTGGTCGAAGACAACATGTCTTCTGGATTTATTGAAATTTTATTGTCTATCTGTTCGGTGCTAGTCAGTTCACTTCTAAAGATTGCTCTTGCAGAGCTTTCCTTGTCGCGGCGCTTAGGTCAGGAAGCATTATCCCTCGCAGGGCTTAGACCGCCCACGCATGATGCGTTTTCGACTCGCTCACTTCCTTGCAAAGCACAGGAGGGCACATCTGACTGGACCTTCAAGACAGTAAAAACGAATCACGGCCCACGCCCACGAACATATTTCCATGTTCACCGTTGTTGGCTGAAGTCCAGGAGGTGTGCCGCAACTCCAGTATCTTGGACCCGACCCAAACAGAAGCCAAGCACCGGCACATCGGAAACATCTGCTGATCGGAAGGCTGCACTGGTAGACACTAGTTTGTGCATCTCTTTTGCCAGATGCCGGCCAACAACCAAAAGTGTGCGATTTCGGCTACAAGCCAGTCAAAGATGCATGTCTCTGGCGTAGTGTCCCGCACGGCAAACCCTCGACTGCCTTGACATGTATGTTTGAATTGTCCGGTTTATTCTTCGCAAGAATGAAGGCCCAGTTCTGTGTGACTGTCGCGTGATCCTTCATCTCATCGCGTCGATGCGACCAGGAATGCCGCAGGGTTGCAGCCGCAAAACAGCCGGTTGAATTGCTTGAACTGTTTGGCGCCAGTCTTGCTGCGGCTTCTCGCTAGCAGCACCGCCCAAATGACTGTGCTGAGAAATTAACTCGTTCCAGTGGGCTGCCCAAGCGTCGAGACCTCTTTCGTCGGGCTTCAAAAGGACATGCCGCATTCTGTTCAGCAGTCCTGAGAATCTGCAACAGTGAGCATCCCTGCTGATTCTTCGCCCCTTGGCGGGTGCCTGTAGGCCAAAGTACTCGTTGAGACCGTATAATTTCTGGACCCTGAAGGCTTGAGTGTTGATTGCGCATTGCCGACCACAGAACAGAGTGCAACGGTGGAGGTTCAGTGACATTCCGCCGCAAAGCCCTCGAAACGGAAGCTTTCGAAGTGTTTTGAGTGTCACATCGGCACGTGTGCATCAGAAAGTGTGCAGATAGCATGCGGTTCCGAACGACATTCATTGTTTTTGACGCCGGTTCCATCTTGCGAGTGTGCTGAGCCACTGCTTTGCGGATCGCTTGCCCGCACGGCTTGCATATCTTCACCTGAGGATTGTCGCGGCCGCCAATGGCTGTCGCCGAGCTCCTGCAGCTGGAGGGAGTGCCCTGGCGGCAGCCAGGTGTCAAGCAGATGCTTCTTGTGTCGTAGAGTCGTCCCGATAGTTGCAGCCTCTACTTATTTGTGTATGCCCGGATATCCTCACCACATCTGCAATGTATCTACATGTGACTTCAAACAATGAACATGCTGGGAACAGAGTATGTAGGGCTGTAAGAAACAACAACTGTACACTTTGGCGGCTGTAGAGAAGTCAAAAGGCACGGTAGGGAGTCTCACCGTTGTAACATCACAAGCTTTGTGACGCTCGTGGGAGCTGCGCCAACTCATGGTGCTTGAACTTCTGTGGAGGTGCACGTGCTCGCGAGCAATTTGTCACCAGGCTGCAAGATGGAAACGAAGTTGAACCGAAAAGGTATTCGAGGGCATCATTCGGCTGGACCCTGGAACCCCCATGTTCACATTAATTGACGAGACAAGGGTGCTGTAAATTGCGAGAACGGCGAGCTCAGGTTGGTACTTCACCTCAGACTTCAAAGCGGCAATGCGCTGGATCTCAGGATGGGGCTGCGGACGCTAAGCGGAGCTGCCTCCGCTGTGAGCAAAAAAGCTGTACCCACGTCGTTGGTTCGATTGGGACAACCATGAGTCGTTTAGCCTGCACAGCCTCCCTGCATCTTGAGCTCATGAGCGCAGGTGGTTTGTGCAGATGGGCCTGGCAGGTCACAGTCTGGAGCCCAGCAGAGTCTGCAAGAAGCGAAACAAAAGTGTACACCGCCGTGGCAAACGATCTACACAAAAAACACATACAGCTTCTTCAACCCTCATCATACCTCATAAAAATTGTGAAGGATTGCCTCTGTTCACTTCTGCAGGTAATCCAGCCGGTGCCCTGAACAACAATCAAATTCAAAGCTTGCTGGCAGCCAGTTCCTAAGCTTGCCTCAGCGAGTGGAAGATGAATGCCACGGCGCGATTTGAGTGATTCAAAATGCTTGAGAGATGAAATGACGTCCTGATTGCCAATAGCAGGTTGGCCAGAGATCTGAATTTGAGAAGTTTGTCACCCGGTTCGTGCCGGGCTAAGGTGTTTTCTCAACCAGTTACAGTTACATAGAAGCTCGAAAGGGGGTTCTTGGTCATGAAAGGCTGTAGCAGGGTTTTTGCAAATGTCCAGGTTGCCACGCAGCTCGATGCCAGTCAGCAAACTACCGTGAACGAGGCTCGTCTTGAGATAACCAAGATTTGGCGTCCTTGTACCTCTCGCTCTGGTGAGCTGCTTTCTTCGCTCCGCCACTGCGTGAAGAAGGTCCCAAACAGTAGCCGGCTACCCTTGAAACTATTCCAAGGGCCTACAAGTCGGTTCCGAAGCCAGGACCCTACCCCAAACTTGCAGAGGCTATGGATGGGGTCCTGAAAAGCTTCCACAAAGTCCTCCAAAGTCCACTGCATGAGTCGCATGAGTGAGTCTTTGCGGTCGAGTCAGGCTTTCAAGGCTTTTGACGCGGATGGTGATGGGCATCTCTCTGCTGAAGAACTCAGGCGCAAATAACTAGAACGGAGGCAGAGGGACTCTAGGTGCTGGCATGTGCTGGCATATGTTTGTTTATTTCTATTCCAGCTCGACGACTTTTCTGGCAAATGCGTGACAGCTCGTAAGTGAGCATGTGCTCTGGAAGGCAGGGGCTTATGCAGTTTGGGGCCTCACCGGAGCAAGCAGAGCAGGCTGCGGAAGCTTGCTCTTGGATTGCCAATTTCAAGGGCTGCGTGTCGCGTTTTGCAGTGAGATGTTTGAGACACGGTTCAAAGTTTAGCCCAAAAGACTAGGATGGAGGCCGCTGGCATTTGTTGACAGAGAATGGGTTCGTTCCATTGTTTCAGATCGTCAGCGAGTTGGATGTTGGCCGAACGGGCCAAGCTTTTGGCTCAGATTTGCAAATTGGTCTGAACCGAGAGATGTGAGCATTGGTTGCCCAGGTCTCCTACACCGAGTTCCTCGCTGGCATCATCAACTTGCGCTGCAAGAAGCCAGAGGTGGCGAACCCGAACACTGTACGCCACACGGAACGTAGCGGACAGTCGCATGCAGGAGCAAGACAGACTGCTGTCCATTGCCTGGGAGCAATTCCGTCCGGATACCAGCGGACTGGCAGGCGACCCAGCACCGATATCTGGCTCACAGCTGTCGCACAGTTCGATAGCAAAGGTCGCTGGTTAGCTACCAGTAGCCGGCAAACTCTGGAACATGTATGCGTCCGTCCTCTAGCCAAGGTCAAGGTTCAGGACATCCAGAATGCACTGGCCACAAGAGGTATGACTGCCCACGCCCATGAGAGTTTGACCAGGCACGACGCTTTGGTGCGAGATTGTTTCTGCTTCGCTGAGGTTGCCGACATGCCTGATGGCTTCCTTGCAGCCCTCAACAAGGACAGCTTCAAGCTAAAACACAGAGACACCAGAGGCAAGATGCCACGTGGACAAACCTTCAACACATGGTTCATCCCGAGGACCACACGCAGTACATTTCCTTTGACTCGTGCTTTGCTAAGACTCAGCTGCCAAGGGCACTTTTCAAGCTCCAACTTCGCCTGCTCCAAGGTTCAAGTCGCTGCTACTCTTTGACGACTCTGATCAATTGGCAGCGGCCTTAACTGCAGCCAAAGCTCCAGCCGCCTCGGCCTTCTTCGTCCAACCAGCGACCATCAGAGACCTGAAACCAAGTTGACTTTTATTTTGCCCCACAAGTGCAGAGGGCTCAACGGATGCCAGGACGACTGCGTCTAGGTAGGGTCGACCATGGGTTCCAGCAGCTGCAAAAGCGAGCAGCGGAGCGGCTCATGTCTGGAATGCTCGACGACTGTAGGGCAGGTGAGCATCCAGGCTTTCGGTCCGGAGGATGGTCCCGTGATCCTCGCCTTGCATGGACTGTCCTCTGCATCCTTCATCATCCGTGAGTGGGACAGCCTCGCGGAGAGCCTAGCAGAATCAGGCTTTCGCGTGCTTCTACCCAACTTCCACTCTAACTCAGCTGCGGCTCCGAGACTCTTTGGCCCTACACGTGTAGTTCCCGTCTTGCTGCAGATACTGCAGAGCTTTTCTCCCGAGCGGCAAGTTGTGCTGATGGGTAAGAGCTGGGGAGGCGCTGTCGCAGCCGAGTTTGCAGCTGCCCATCCGGCGGTGGTGAAACAACTGGTGCTTGTTTGTCCAGCCATTCGTGTCCTGAAGGGAAAAGAAGCCGAAGCCATCAGGGAGTTGAGGATGCCCTTGCTGCTTCTCTGGGCAAGAGATGACTGGATGACCTGGTTTTCATCATCGCAAGTCTTCTGCGACAATTGCCCTCGTGTTTCTTTGATTGCCGTTCAACGTGGAGGACATCGGATATTGCCAGATTACACAGGGTACGTCCTGAACTTCTTGCGAGATTGATGCGCGGACGTCAAGAGATGGGGTTGGTGTTTACATGATAGGTTCAAGGGAGGTCTTTACCGCCGTCAGTGAGTTGCCCAACCGCTTAAAATTGACTTTTCTCGAGGTTCCAGCATCTTCAGAACGAGGTCGAGGAGCAAAATTTATTCGGCCTGCCTGACCTGAATTGAGCCGACGGGTCTTGTGAGATGCTTGAGCGACTCCGGGTCCAAGTGTCAGGTGGTGTGTCAGCTTCATGCTGAAGCCAAGTGAGCAGTAGTGGCGCTTTGTGCCACCATCGATTTTATGGTTTGCCTTCAATTTTCTCAACCAGTTTCACAAGATACCAGATCTTGGATTAGCCGACAAAAAGACTATGATAGGATTGCTGGAGGGACAGTTGACATGACCTGTCAGAAACGACACGTGTTGTATAACCTGCTACACAAGGTGTTGAACACAGCCAGTTGATTTTCAAATTTTGATATCCAAGTTTCGGAACGGTGGTCTTATAACGGATGGGCAATTTTGCATTGTATGCGAACGGGTGGTACAGTGCCTCAGAAGGTGCCAGATTTGGTCTTATAAGACTACTGTGCCTTACCAAGCGGCTCTTCCAGGCAGCCAAGCAGCACCAGAATGGAACAAGCAACCCCTGAGAACTTTTCAATTCCTTATCATCAATATCAAAACTGAGTTGGTATGAGTCAAAGCCGAGTGTCGACTGGAACGATCTTTTTGTGGTGGCAGCAGTGAGATGTAGGGCCTGGGGACGCTCCAAGCAATGGCTACCTGGGGTGATCAAGCTGCTCAGGCTGCTCAGGAGGGCGGTCGCCACGAAGAGGGCGGTCGTCGTGATTACGGCCAAGGTCAAGGCGGTGGCGCGTGGGGCAGCTATCGCCGCCGCGAGGACCGCCGTGACGATCGTCGACGGGGGGGCGGGGGTCAATTTCCCCAGGCCGCTCACAACCCCTACGACGTTCGTCTGCCTCACTTTCTGCAGTCGATCGCCGAGTGCGAGGACGATGCAAGGAAGACCTCCATTATCATGGTGGACTCCCGCGACGAGAGAATTGTGTCGCCTTTTCAGGCGTGGCTGGTCAGAGAGATCATGACCAACAGCTCCAGCTCGGTCAATGTCTTGACTGAGCGGGACCAGGTCATGCCGCCAAACTCTGGCTACCACATGTCGCTCTTCGCTAACTACACGCTGGACGGGATCAAGGCCACGATCGCGATCACGATCGGTTCCCAGACCGGCGCTCCATGTGGCGGCTGGGATGACATGACCGCTCGGGCC